AGACCAGGTCCATGGTCCATCGGTGGTCCATTCCCGGTCCATGGATCATGGACCAGGGCCAGGAAGCTTAGACCGGGACCAGGGCCAGGAAGCTTAGACCAGGTCCATGGTCCATTCCCGGTCCTGGTCCATTGCCTCAGCTCCCGCAGAGGAGCTAGCTTCGCGTTCTTGATGTATTTGCCTCACTTTACAACAACAAGAACCCGCTCCTGGTCCAGGATTGCACTTCTGGTCCAGGTCCAGGATTGCACTTGCCTGGTCCTGGTCCAAGATTGCACTTGCCTGGTCCAGGTCCAGGATTGCACTTGCCTGGTCCTGGTCCAGGATTGCAGTTGCCTGGTCCAGATGCTGAGTACCAGTTGAAGAGCCCGCTCCGAACTACGACGACCAGCTCGTTGATTCATGGATGGAGAATTGTTCCTAGTACTTCCTACGTCTGAATCGTGAATCAGCCCTGAATCGTGAACTACCGTATCGTCCACACGCACATTTACAACACTTGGTGTACCCACACACACCCCTTGACATTGCAGTCCACCCACCACCCACCCACTCCTGGCTCGTGCTCACCCCCTCTCTCCCAGCAGAGAGCAGAATGAGAGATTGTTGAGAATTCATGCCATCACTGGCCCAAAATCTGTGTTGCTTGTTTCGGAGCAAAGAGAAAGGTGTTTCACAGGCACAAAGAAAAACGGCTTTCAGCCCAAAGGAAAAGTGTTTCACTGCCGCAAAGAGAAACGGCTTTCGGGGCAAAGAGAAAGCCACTGCGGCAAATAGAAATCCCTTTTGGAGAGGCCTAGCTAAGTTGGTTGAGCACGAAAATGGTATTCAGGAGGTTTGTGGGTTCGACTCCCCATGTCATCCATTCGGCTCCCCACAGTTCCTGTGGCACACTTCGGGTTCACCACCTGAGATAGTCCGCTCACCCTTGCCCCCTTCCGTCTGTGCTGGGGGTTAGGTTCAACCCCGAGGGGATAGGTATACTGGAATAGAAGATAGAAGAGATAGGCGCAACCCATAACTCGTATTGCAGCTTAGCTCTAGTCAGAAGATTTACTGACTAGGCAGTGCCCGACCCTCCTAAACCCTATCAGTACCAAGTACGGGGTACGTAGGCAGAATGGTGGAAGCGGATGCCAAGTCGTAGGTACCTAGCTAGTGTGAAAGAAAAGGTGTTCAACTGCCGCAAAGATAACACCTTTGGAAGGGAAGAGGAACTTCCACGGCGTTTCAATGCCGCAACGAGAAATGATGGTTTCCGACGCGAAGAAAGAGGCATTTTACTTACGCAAAAAGAAACGCCTTTGAGCGAAACAAGAAAGCTGTTTCAGTGCCGCGAAGAGAAATGCCTTCCTTCCAGCACGAAGAGAAAGGTGTTTCCGTTCCGCAAAGAAAGAAATGGCTTTCAGCACGAAGAGGAAGTCGTTCCACTGCGTTTGGCATTCTCGTGCCGATGCAGACCGTTCTGTGCGCTGCTTTCCAGCAAAATGCAAAACGTCAAATCACCCCACGCCTTCTCCAGTGCCTCTTGACGGGGCCACATATCAAGGGAGCGAGTCATCCATCCCCCCTTAGCATCCAAGATGAGACCGTCCTGAATCCATGGCAGTGCTAGCCCCGCATCTGCTTCGCTCGACACAAGACACTCCTGAGTCCATCGCCATACTAGCCCCACATCTCTTCCGTTCGGCACACCATCTCCTGAAGCCATGGCAGTGCTAGCCCCGCATCTGCTTCGTTCGACACAAGACCCTCCTGAATCCATGGCCATACTAGCTAGCTCCGCATCTCTTCCATTTGGC